CCCTAAACCCTAAACCTTAAAGCTCTAAGCTGAACACTTCAAAGAAACACCCCTGGCCTGGACTTTGTGCCGGAGTCCAGCCTAAATCGCAAGACCAAACTCTAAACCCTAAGCCCTGTAGGGAGGGAGGGAGGGAGGGAGGGAGGGAGGGAGGGAGCCTAAACCCAAAGCCCTAAACTAAACCCAAGTCCGAAAGCCTCAAATCTGCAGCGCTTAGGTCCCCCGTGCCTGCAGCGATCCCTGAGGCAAAGGAGGCCGGAGCTCTGGGGGCTTTGGGTTCATTAGCCCTGCACATCTACATCTGCAGAGTGAAGTTTGTTTAAAAGAGGTCATTAGCTTGATTTAAAGGGTTTAGGGTTTGGGGTTGGGGGTATAGTTTGATTTATGGTTTTCGCTTGATTTTGCTCAGTTTAGGGTTTAGACTGGCAAGTGTACCGTTGTTGCAGTTGCATTTCCCCAAGAGCTTCCGCGAGCGATGTCACATCCGTAGGAGTATGGCTGAAGCTGGGCCGTCATTTGGCCTCCCTAGCGCAGCAGTGCAGTCGAAGTTTTTTGCTGGATCCTTGCAGCCCGGGATGAGTTAAGAGAGCTGCTGCATGTGGCCGAAATCTGCAAACTCGACCTTGGAGAGAGTGCTGTCGAACTCCTGCAGAAAACTGCACGCACCCTTCGCATTCTGCGCCAGTACGGTAAACTTGCAACCTATTCTTCGTTATGCCTGCGCTGAGCTGTGATGTAAAATTCGGACGCAAAACAGAAAGGTACAAATATAGGGGCCTTAATAAATAGAACAGGGTTTAAAGTATTTTATGCCATAACTATAATTTGGAAACCCCAAAACCCTACTCTAATTATTAAGGGCCCCCACACTACCGAGCGCACCAGTTTTGGGGGCTTGGGACTTTAGGTTCCAAAAGACCCTTACTTAGGATTTTGGGGACCCAGCTCGACAAGGGTAGTACGTATGTACGTATGTACGTATGCATATATATATATATGTATGTATGTATGTATGTATGTATGTATGTATATATATATATATATGTATATGTTTATAGCTATATACATACATACACATAATGTGAACCCGTTTAGGGGTTTGCGGATTGAGTTGTTGAGGCTCAGCCGAAGCTGCCACCAGAGCCGCCAGCCGCGTGACCTCATCGAGAGGGTCTTATCGTAGGGCTTGTTTCGAGGGTCTAGGGTGTAGGGCATGACCACGCCAGATCTCGATGCTTTTCTTCGGGGGCTTGGGATATTTAAGGGAGGGGAATTGAGGGATAGATGAGTTTGGGGCTTTAGGGCAGCAGGAGTTGGGGATTTCGGGGGTGAGAGAGTAAGGGGGCCTTTTTCGGGGTTTAGGGCCTTTGCCACAATGTCTGGGTGTCAGGTAGTGAGTTTCAGATGAGGATTTGAAGGCTCCATGGGATGATAGGCTTTGAAAGTCTTTTGGTTGTGCTTTTTTCAAACCTGGGCCTCTGACATTCCTACAATCTACAACCTATGTATGTGAATGCCTGCGGTGCCTACTATGTTCACATCACCGAGTCTTAGGTCCAGGATTTTGGACTCCCTCGTGGCTTGAGTGCTTCTGTGGGGGTTTAGGGTTTAGGGTTTAGGGTTTAGGGTTTAGGGTTTAGGGTTATTCTGGCTATCATGGCCTGAAAGCCTTCAGCGCAGTATTGAAACTCCAAACTTGCTTCGAAGGCCCTTAGCCCGAAACCCAGAACTGCCTAAACATCGTCCTAAGGGCCATCTAAATCCCTCAATCCCTGAACCCCAAACTCTAAACCCCAAACAACTCTTTCGGGCCCTTGCGCTACTCATTAAACTGGGCTCTCGTTTAAGGAACCTAGTTTAATTTACCATGATAAGAAACCATACTATAGATCCCTATTATGGTAACTTCTTAGAGACTTTTGTTTTATATTGTAGAGTACAGTCTAGATCCCATTTATGCTAACTTACTATAGACTTGTTACTATATCGGGGCAGTACCCAAAGCAAAAGCCTCTCTGGAGCTCATGAGCTTCGAATCAGAGTTCTTAGCCCTTGGGGCCAAACGTAAGCGCCTGAGGCTTCGAGGTTTGGGTTTTGACGACTTCGGGGGTTTGGGCTTTAGGAATTTTAAGGCTCTGGGGCTTAAAGCAGTTTCGGGTTGGGGAGTACAGGTGTTGGGGCCTCCACCCCAGCCCCGAACTTGCCGTCGAAGGTCAATGGCACCACCATTATGCTTCGAAATCTTCCCACCAGGCCGTGCAGCAGAGACCCGTAAGCCCGTAAGGTTCTACTTCTGGGGGGTTTTGCTGTTTCTTTCCTGGCCGCTGACGCCGCAGCTCCTCCTCCGCCTCTTGCTCCTGCTCTTGCTGCTGCTTGTTTGTTATTGTTGTTGTTGCTGCTGCTGCTGCTGCTGCTGTTATTTTGGGCCGTAGTCGATTGACTGAGTGTTTTAGGGTGGCCTGCTGGCCTACTTTTGATCACAATACGCTTGCAGCACTGCATCGCCACAGCAATACATAGTTCAGTTTCCTTCTCGATGATTCCAAAGACCGCACCTGGGCAATGCAGGCACAAGGCTTTGCGAGGTTTCGCGCGCATGGCCCTCCCGGCGCGCGTGGCCCCGAGAAGCCCAAGCCGTGAGGATCATTGGCACCCCGCTGAGCACCAGTGGAAGTTCAGGAACCCCCTGAAGCCAGCATCCTGAACATCATGAGGACTTCGTTTCTGCTCTTGGGATGGCTTCTCTCGCCGACGAGCCGCAGCTAGATCCCGCTTTGTCTTTTTGGGATGATGCCTGGCAGCCATCGAAGGGCCCCCAAGCAGATAGCACAAGGGGCCCAGGATGAGTTCGTGTCTGCTCCTTGGGGCCCCGGGCTTCAAAGGAAGCACTTTCTCCGAGGCCCGGGCCGGAACTTGTGCCTGGGTGCTGAAAATGGCGGTTTCGCATGTGCGGGGTGTGGCCGAACGTGTTGCAGCATGAGCATCCTTCCCGTCCCCCGCCCCAGCGTGGCCCTCAGAGCCAGCATCATGAGCATCAGGTGTAGTTCCTTGCCGGCTCTGAGCACGGCTGCGCCCCTTTCCCTCAGCTCTGTGGGGACTCACGGCCAGCTCCGAAAACAAGGCGTTTTGGAAACCGGTCTCCACGTGATGGCAAAATACGGTAACGGTGGTGAAGGCAGTGAAGAACTCGAGGGAGGCCTCCCTAAAACAGCCTGGCTGTGGCCCAAGCCTGAAACACAGCAAGTAGGGTTTAGGGTTTAGGGTTTAGGGCTTAGGGTTTAGGGCACATTCGCAAGGTGTTTACGGCCTCAACCTCCCCTGCCGGTTTTGGGACTTGAGATTTCCACGATTCAGGATCCAGGGTTTCTTCATAAGAGTTGCCCGTGTTGCCTGAAGCATTGACGGTCAGGGATCCGAAGCAAACCGCACTGTAAACCGCTGCAAACCCTACCCAAACCTCAAACCCTAAACCCTAAACCCTTAAGCGCTTAAGCCCTAAGTCCTTAGCTCCTAAACCCGGAGCCTCTAAACCCTAAATGTAATCCTGAAGCCCGAAAACCCTGAATTCCTCAATCCCAAGCCCGAAGCCACGTACCTAAACGCGACTCCCTGGAGAGGTTTTCGCAAGAAACCATGCTTCAGCTTCTGAATGACAACGGCTTTCAGGCAAAGTACGCCTGCCTGGCCTGGTTGGAAGCTGTGCGCAGGTTACGGGTGCCAACCACGACCCGAAACCCCAAACCCCAAACTTTAAAGCTTTAAACCCGTAAATTAAACAATAAAACCTAAACTTCAACTTAAACATCGCAGAACTAGGTTCAGGGGTTTAGGTCCGCTGCCGTGACATGGAAAACTTCACGCCCCCAAATTGGTCAAAGCATGAGAAGCCAGGATCGCAGGCATTCCTCAATTGCAGTTCTATTTCGTTACCACTACCCATGACGACGAAAGCGACCATGACGACGACGACTACCACCACTACCACTGCAACCAGTTGCTGGCGGGTAGCTATCGCCGAAGTCTCCTTTTATCGTTCCGGAAGGGAGAAGAGCGGCAAGAGCAGTTTCCTAGAACGCCTCAGTCCCCGATGCTCATAAGCTCCACGCCACCCAAACAAGCATCGCAATGCGACATCGGTCAGTCTCATGTAAGTCTCATTACCGAACCCTCGTCATATCTTGATATAACATAGTATAATAACATGCAATATGCTGTAATATATTGTAAAATATTATGATATAATCTTCAGCCGATCCTAACGCACCTCGAAGCCAGGACTTTGTATACTTGCCAATGGATTTCCGCAACGGCCAGCTCCTGAGATGCTGTGTGAACCCGTAGAGAGAGAGAGAGAGAGAGATGTGTGTGTGTATATGTATATATATATATACACACACACATATATATATATATATATATGCATATGTTATGTATACAATACATATATATATATATATATATGTGTGCATATGGTACATATGTATACATACATGTGTCTGTATGTGTGTGTATATGTATATATATATATATGTGTGTATATATATATATATATGTGCAAGACTTTAGGCTGTAGTTAGGGTCCAAACATCCTCCGCAGATCCCATGACGTTTCCCGCAAGT